GGGATGCATATCCGTAATTTTCTAGGATGAATATGGTAATGCATCTCTGTAAAATCTACTTAATTCATTTTAAGATATTGGAAATGTGTTTATTATACACGATAGTGGATATTTCTGAGATGCATCTTCGCAATCCTCCTGAATGCATTCTTAGCATTAACATTGTCCTAACTTTGACATTTTCTTAGACCTACTTATATTTTAGGCCAATTAGGCCATTTTTTAAAATATAAATCCATTTAAGAGTGCCATAAATTGATTCAAACATATTATACATACATTAATTAAATTAAATTCAAAATGTACCGCCGATACATAATTTGTTCCAAAAATATAAAAAATACAAACAAACATAAAATATTGGGTATGTCTAACCCTCCACCTGGTTTCTCCTTCGCCTGTATTGCAAGGACTTTTGTACCTCGACCATAAAGTCTTCTACAAAGGCCAAATAGGGATTAACTTTCTCAAAAAGTCCAACATTTATGCTTAATCTCACCATATCCATAATACAGAGACATATTAGTAACATGTTTTGGATGTGGTCATCCCTAGCCTCTAGTATATCCTAATTAGACTGCCTAGGTAGTATTCTAAAAGTGTCTGGTGTCATGATAAAATGTGACACCCTATAGATACATGTGATTTACCTATCTACACAAGCCCATTGTATAGGATCTGGCACCATGTGATAGTCCTCTAGTACCAGATGACTAATGAGATCCTCAAGTATGGCATCAAAAGCTTTGTGGCGAATAGTGGTAGGAGCATACTCTAATGGGTGTCTCGAAATAACCTGCAAATATCTAAACAGGCGCATCACTAGCTCAGGAAGATACACATTCATCAGACTTGGCCCATAAGCCAGCCAGCCAGAGTGAAACAAAATGATGTCCAGTTGCTGCATTGGGCGATGACTACTATATCTACTATATGGGCAGAAGGCAGTGTCATTTGCTACATGATGATCAAGATACACTTGAAAGGGCTTGATCACCTGATTCCCTCTATACGTGGAAAACACGCAAGCAGGTGGCCAATCTTCATTGTAGTCAGGCTCAAGTTTCCACCGGAATATACGAGAAAAGTTATATATGATTCGGGCCTGAGAATGGTTCAGATAAAATATTAGTAACAAGTGTAGCACAAGAGTTATGAAAATATTAGTAACAGTAAACTACCTTAAACAACGTGCAACTTCCTGTCAATTGCTTTGTCTTCCAAAGAGAAGTTTCGCCCAACTTCGAGTATAGGTAGACCAAAAAAGAGCTCCCTAGTTGTAATTGTGAATCTTCGTTAAGTCAATGAAGTATTTAAGGTAGACAACATCGACGTTGGTTGCACTTTTGTCCACAAACATGTACATGTCAATCAGGAGCAAGAGGTAACACCTCAATGTACACTACTAGTGGTACTAAACCTGCATATCATCACCTTCAGCATCCACATCCATATGCAGGTGATCTTTATAAAGTTATTTCTTGTAAGAACTTAAATCTAGCATGAGCACCTCTGGTGTCAACTACCTTATTCTAAACATTAGTTAGGAGGCATGAGACGTAATTTAGGGTGATGGACATATCGCCAATAAGAAAGTGGAAAGATGACGTCTCTGAATGTCATCTCCACGCATCAACATATAAATCGGCAAACCCAGTCATCTTCGGATTGTTCAAATTCCAAAATCTTCCTTTCATGATCTACGAATTTTAAACATGGGCGCTCTTGTAAAAATAAATATATCACCGTCACTCGCGATTAAATTAGTATAAAACAAATGTAATAGAAAAGTAAATAAATATACCTCTCCTTCCTAGACATGCCTAACATTATGGTCTCTATAAAGATGAAGTAAAGAGGTGTCATATGAGCCTCTTGGATAACTATCTATAGGGGCATCCGCATCAGCAACGTGTTCCTCCTGATTGGTTTCATAAGCTTTTGGGGTTTCATAAGCAGAAGACATGTGGCCCTGTGAAGTAGATGATTGAGACAGACGACTTCGGGAAGTAGATGGATGTGAACTCGAGCTTGAGTCGATGTTTCCTCATCAAATGAGGTAGCATCGACTCGTGACCTCGTTGGCCTGACCCTGACCCTCTCACATTGTTCAGCCACGTGTTGGGACATATGGTCGAGCCTCAACATTTTCTGGTTGTTTTCAGCCATTATACATATAATAAAACCAGAAAATCACATCAAAATACAGTCAGGAAAAATTCAGAGATACATTTCTGTAAATCAATTCAGACAAAATTCTGAGATGCATCTCCAGATAAACTCGGGAGTTGCAGAAATGGCAGAAACTCCACTGATGTCCTAAACTCCAACCAAATGAAAATGCATGTCTATACCAGCTACCTATTTCAAATGTAACTATTATCTAATGCATCTTGAACAATCTATTTTACATAATATATTTATCAAATCTCAAAAAATGAAATGAAATGAGAAACTTATCAAATGAGAGATGTGGATGAAAATATTGAATAGAGTGAGTAGAATGACCTAGGATTGAATGTATTGAAGCAATAATAATGTTGAACTTTTAAAAGTGAATTTGAAGAAACTTGTTCACGAATTCTAATGGGGTTTTAGTGAACTTGTAGCAAATGAATAAGAAAGCGGGGAGAGGTCTGGCACGAGTATATGAATTAATTTTTTATGAAAATGTATCTCCGAACTAAACTTTTCCAAAATGTGAATGTCACACCAATTTACGTTGAGAAATGTGTAAAAAGTATGCATTCAAAGACGCATATCTAAATTTTAGAGATAGTTGTAAACTTTTCACCCTAGAGAAGCATTTTAAGTGAGAAAAAGATAATTCCCTTAAAATAAGATTTTCAACTCAATTGTATGGTTTCTTTTTATCAAAGGTGACAATCTAACCAACTTTCTTTTTATCAAAGGTGACAATCTAACAAACTTTCTTTTTAATCAAATACCTTCCTAACAAATGAATTAATTCATCCGCAAGAAGAAAGATTCCTGGTATATCAAATCTCAATTATATTGTTTGAAATCCCATTTTAGATAAAAATAGATGTTGAACAAGTCGAGATATAAGAGAGTTCGGCTAAAAGGTTAATAGGTATAACAACGGGACGGGACGGAGACGGGTTTAATTATACCTGCATCTGCACCCGCTTCCATGTAACAGATTTGTATCCGCTTCTAAACTTAGTTGGGGTAAAAATTTACCGCTCAGACCTAGAGAACGGATTTTTCCGCACCCGCCCCACTCCCACCCACAAAAAAATAATTTCTTTTTAATTGTAATAAAATTAATAATTTAATTAAAAAAATTGATTACTTTAATAACTTAATTAATTATTTAATTAAAAACTTAATTATAAATGAATACTAACTTGATTTATTTTATTATTTTAATTATAATAAAACATTAATTAATAATGTAATTAAAAATATAATTAATAAATAAATATTAAAATAAATAAATTAACAGAACTAAAGTAAATTATAATATCCGGGGACGGGCGAGGGTGGGTGCGGGCAGGTCTTAGTGCCTTCTCGTCCCCGCACTCGTAGTTAAGAATCAAATTTTTTTCACACCCACACCTAATTAGACCAAAATTTTTTTGTTAACTTTGGGAAGAGTCCAAGCGGGTCCAAGTTTGTTTGCCATGTCTAAAAAGGTAGTAAAATCCGACAAAAAAATTGTTCTAATTAAAATTCAAATTTGATCTTCTCAAAAGATTCTTTTTTTTAGGTATAGTTCATTAATCTCTTAAACTCGATTATTTAATCAATTAAAACTTAAAAATTTTCTTAGAATTATAAACACCTGCATGCTAATTTCACTTTATTTTTATTCTCATAATCTGGTAAATCATTAATACTAATAAAATTAATAATAATGTTAATAACATGCGTATTGATCATTAGAGATATCTTATAATTTTACACGGAAAAAAGTGAAGTAATTTATGTTTTACAAATTGCAGAAAAAATATAACATAATTAAAGATGTATTATTTAAAATAGTTATTGTAATTGAAAATAATTAGAAACACATAGTAATATTCAATTATCTTTTTCTTGTTAAAAAAATTTAATTATCTATAGGTCATTATACTATTTGTGAATTTTTAAGTAGAATCTTAAACTAAAAAGGTTTTAACTAAATTCTTGAAGTAATATAATTCATAATTAGATCTTTCTTTTACATTATTGTTAGTCAACTAAAGACCTATTAAAAAAAATTCAATTAATTAAAAAACTTAATTAGTCTCTTTACTTTTAGACATATCATAGCAATTAAGAATTTTTTTACCGTGTTCAATTTTTTTTAAACATACTACACCAATTATGAATTATTTGCCCTCTTTGCCAAGATTTAAATCCTTGACCTCCAACTTACACCTTAGCTAAATTTTTATTTTTTAGGCATACTTCACTAATTAATTATTTAAATGTCTCTAAAATAAAATAAAATCTCTGAACTATTTTTTCTTTCTTTACATATATAATTAAGTCCTAATATCATTGAACTACAAACAATTCAACATGATCACCATTTAAGCTAGTCTAAATATTTTCCAATATTATGCTGAACAATGAATGAGTATGCAAAAATGTCTGCATTAAATAGAAAGACTTAAAAATGATGTATTAGATTAAATCATATAAACATGTTCAGTGCTTATGACTATACATTTACCTTTCAATACAGTAGGACAGTGAGAATAAAGTAAACTTCAAATCACTGCTGGTAATGGAGAGCTTGATCATAGTCCAAACTGGTAAGGAGTTCCATAATCTGAATTAGGATATTTTGTCCCCCTTAATCAAGAACAGAGGTGGGAAGGGGTTGAAAAAGCCTACTCCTAATGACACGTGTCAATCAAACCTAATTCTCTCTTCTTTTTTATCCTATATATTTCACTAATTAATCTATCTAAAACACAGATTACAGATCAATCAACAAAGGGACAAACTAGTTGGCCACTACTCCAGAAGGGGTGGAGGAAACTATATCAAAGGGGTCTTGATGACATTGACCCATGCGAATATCCATTAGCAACACTTTGTTTTTTCTTGAAATTTGTAATACTACAATGAGGACATATATATTCCAACCCATCTGTTTTTGCATAATCCTGCACAAGTTGTAAAAGAACAAAAAATGAACCCTTGATACAATAAAGTGTTTTGCATTGGATGAAACCAGTACTCTTGTATAATTTCAAGTGATGATACAAATGCAATACCTTAAATGCGCCAAGACCCTGCCGTCTGTCACAGCCGAAGTGAGCCCACTCACCACATATGCCGCAATTCACCCAATCCCCGGCAGCACTACTGTTGAACAGTAAGGATTGTAAGGAAAACATTTACAAAAAATTAGATTAGCTGCTGCTACTTTGCACACACATTATATCATGCTTCTCTACAGTTTTAAAATTATGCTTAAATCAATTGCAAAGATTCATTGACTTAAAAATTAGTACAACCTGTGACACAACAAGCAGCATTCTCCATCCACATCATCGTGTGCTAATTCATATTCTAAAAGGTAGGTTTCATAATGTCTTTTGAGTGTATTTCCAACTCCCTGCACAGGACACAACATGGAAAAAAAAGCTTAGCAGCTAGTTAATTTGACATGATAAACAAACATCAAGTCATTACATAAAGTTTGAATTAGTTTGTGAACCTTTTTTTATGTCATTTTAACTAGTCAAAACTATGATGCATAGATAAGGGTATGGTACCCAGTACGGGTGCCTGTACTGGTACGATATACGGCATTTTGAAAAAAATCAAGGTTCGGGTACGTCTATGAAAATAAGAGTTTCTCTATAAAATGTATTAATGAAGAACTAGATTGTTCAATTCATAATAAAATACTACAATAAAAGTTTAAACAATAAAAATTGTGTAAGTTACTATAACAAAGAAACTAAAATACATAATCTATAATGTTAATATATGAAAAAACTGCAAATTTCCCCTTAACTAAATAATGAGAAAAATTGAAATACCACAAGTATGATATGTGTACTGGTACTGGTACTTCACAATTTTAAGAGTACCATGCTTCGGAGCACAGAAGTAAGTTCTGTTTTGATTAGATTGAATAGGTTATCAAGATTGAATTCACAAGTAAATTCAATTCAATAATGAATTTATATATTTGTCTACTTCCAATTTCAATTAGGTGTTTTTCGGTTGGCATTGGATTGAATACGACTATGAAAACCTTAGTAGGTAGGATTTCATGTTTGGGGTCAAGCCTAATCTAAAAACCAAACCTAAATCAACCATATGGTTTAGTTCATAAAATACGATTGAATTATCTTATAACAAATGTACTTAAACAGTTCAGTTTTAGTGAAACAATTATAAATCTGTTCTAAACCAACTTAACCACTATATCTTGTTCTTGGAATTTGTGAAGAAGTTCGAGAATCATCGGACCTTGAACAGAAGAAGTGAAAATCATTGCAGATAACATAAAATCATTACAAATTGTAGAAGGAAACCATCACAGATCACAGGTAGCAAATGCAATTCAAGTAGTATGAATTGTTTTGTCAAGAAAATCATGTTTAAAGTATTTATTATTTGGGAAGTTTGAAGAATTTTTAAAGACTTCAGAAAGCCTGTATCTTATCAATGGAAAAGTTTCAGAGTGAAATTCCAAATTCAATATAACAAAAATCATAAAAGTAAAACGTACAGTCATTCTATTGGTTGATGTGTAATTTCCCATCTTTGAAAAGATTTGCCCCTTCCAGTTGATGCCATTGCCAACATGAAATCCTCCCCTTGTGACCACCTAAGAAAACCAACAAATTTAGAAACATAATCTACATATAATTTCATCCATAATAATTCTTAAAGAATACGGTTTCACTGACTCACCTCTTTATATAGGTTGTAGAGATCAAGGCGCTTTCCATTCAGAATGGCATCAGGGAACTCGGAAAGCCCTCCTTGGGGAATCAATCGGCTATGCCCCCGGAGAATCAGAAACTCCATGACATCCTTAATAAATTCATCCTACACAGAATGTTCAACTTTTTAAAGTTTGAGTATATTCTCATTGGATTTTTGCGTCATAGAGAGTTTAACTAATCCAGTATGATTTAGTAATACTAAGGATAACACCATTTGATGGAATATGGTTTAATTTTTTTTGAAAACGAACAAAGAATATGGATTCTCGTTGAATATTTGAATCATAGAGGTTTATTAAACCTGGTATGGTTTGTTAATATTTAGGATAGCATTTTCTAGAAAATATGAATTCTAAAAAGAAATCATATATAGGAAATCAATGAGAAAGTGAGTTTTATTCCCTTTCTTTTAATCAAGAGTTCTGAAGGGATCGGATGTATTATGAGAGAGTGAAAAATAAAAGATACCATCCTTCAAGAATAAGTAACTTAAATTCTTATATCAATTTTGAGATTACTATCGAATGTGGTAGAATATTTTGGTATAACATTATCCAGCTCATCTTTGCATAATAACTCATTGAATCAATACATACATATTACAGAGCTCTTTCATTTCCAAAGTCAAATAATCGATATGAATTAATAAGCAACTGCAGGACAATTATTCGACATTAGGTCTGTATTATAATTTTTAAAGAAAAGCTGCATTACATTAATATTGGAACACTAGTAAATCTCAAATCTCTTTTGAAAAATGACAACAGCCATTATCGTCAACATATGTAGCATTTAGAGGATTAAGTTTTAAAAATAGAAACTCACCAAGTCGTATTTGTCAACAAATTGATCACGTGATTACTTAGGGTTACAAGAATGGTTCACAAGTATTTCAAACAATTGACAAAGGTAAACTCACCTCAGAGCAAGTCTGTACTGGGCCTCTGCTACAACCGTGTTTCTTCAACGGTAATGGATTCAATGAAATAACCTGCTTAGAATGAGCTGAGCTTGAGAATGATTTTCTATGGGCCGCAGATGATGTTCCAATACTACTGCGCTTCATAGGGACAAGTGGCACATTAGCTTCAACATGGGCACCACCGAAACTATCTATCTCAGAAGGTCCAGAAAAAGGTGTCATTCTATGACGACGAACATGAGGAATTGGCCTCATTGCAGATACTTTTAATCTCTGCCTAGCTGGAGTTAATGGTGTACTAATCCCATTCACCATTTTCATATCCTTTTCCTTTCCATCTTCTTTTTTTACAGCACCCTGCCCTGCGAAGACCACATCGTGTATGTCATGGCTAGCCCCTTGGCTTAATTCGCATCTCTTTCTTGTAGGAGGGGGAGGTTTCAACCAAATGGGGGGCCTGCTGAAAACTATATTATCATTTGCACATCCATCTTTCTCTGAGCTTTGATAGAAGAAAAGTAAGCGCTCCGCGTCATCTTTCTCAAAAGAAGCAACAGGCAACCCTTGAATACTAGCAATGCCAAGTGCAACTAAACTTCGATAAGAAACATCAGGTGCTAGCTGTCGCAAAATCTGAAGAGAGTAACAAGTCATTTATTTAGCTAAGAATTTGAATCACAAGTAAATATGTTTAGACATAGAATTCCAACTCTTATAAGATACAACACTTAAATGCTATACTCCACATCCAGGTATTTATAGGCAAGAAAACCTTGGCAACATCCTGTTTCCACTTCATTATTTAACGTAGAAATGTAGATCATCTAATTTGAAAACAGATTGAGCACTTCACTGCTCTACTATAGAAAGCAGACCGATACACCCTGTAGGAAATAGGGGAATAGAGCTACTGGTTTGCTAGCTCAACCTTTCCTAATGAGTAACTAGTAGTTTCATTCAAAACTACATCTGTAGACAAAATTTTAGTGTTGAAATAGCAGGGGCAATGTATCAACAGCACTAATAAGCAGTAGGAACTCTACTGATACAGCCCAGTAAGTATGATGTAGATTAACTATGAACCATTCTTCCAACAGTAAGGTGAATCAATGAGTTGTACTCTCATTTGAAAGAGGAAAGATGGGTAAAAGCAAAAGCAATGAGACAAGAGAGATGAAAGCAGAGGCATGCATTCAGTCCAATGGTAATACAACAATCTAATCAGTCCTGTTACATACTTGGATGTCAAAGCATTATGAGCAGCCAAGTTGGATAAAAGGATATATCTAACCTCGAGTAACCAACCCAACACTATAGACTACCTCTGAGATGATGAAACTTTCTTTCCGTTATCTCAATCCAAGAAATCCTTGCCTCAGACATTTCAAATCCTTATCATTTTATAGCAGCGTTAGTTGTCCTAATAAACTCTGGTAAAATATGTTTTAAAAGAAAAAGAGAAATGGAGGTGTCTTCGATGAAAATTCAACTTTGAGCTTAAAGCTCTAGAATGGTGGAAATAAATAAAATTAAAAAAAAAAAACTAAACTAAACTAAAAAAACTAAACCAGAGTTGTTTAACTCCTAACCAAGAGCATGAAACTCCTAGAGTAGAGAATATACAAAACCGGCTTGTAAGGTGAGGATTTCCCCCACTTATAAACATATGTTTAATGCACATATTGTCCAATGTAGGACTCTTAACACACCCTTCATGTCCAACAATATTGAGCTTGATGTGTGGATATAAATGGTGGGTGGTCCGATAGTGAAAATCTGATAGTAGGTTGCTCAACAGATCTTAAATCCGACTCTGATATCATCTTAACAATTGTGGTTGAGCCTAACTCAACATTACAAAATCAGCTTGATAAATTGTTGCGTAATGATCATACCCTAAAGACTATGTACATCTTAATTGAGCAAGTACTAACACTAAGAGAGTCACCAGTGCTCAGACAAGTGCTCAGACAGGGGAGAATTGCCCTCACTTATATTATATATTATATTATATATTCAGGTGACATATTGTCCAATGTGACTCTTAACAAATGCTAACTAACTTTATGAATGATTTCACACTATCTTTCTCTTTCTTTTATGAGAGTAAATCCCTTAAAATCATGGAATATCCTAACTTTTGCAAGTGTGGGAGCATGAGGTTTGTGACTTGGGCCCAATGATTAAGCCATCAAAACCATTGGGCCATGGTGTCCTATCACAAACACAACTATATGGCTTCTGATTTTATTATAAAACTATTTGGAAAATTTTTAAATAAATAAGTCAGGTAAAGCATATATGACTCGAATATTGATGAATCTCCTAATAAGAAACTAGCAAGAAGGGATAACACATTAATACAAATAATACTCTTTTTTGGTTACAATTAATACAGATAATAATGCAATAGAGAATGTGAATAAGACTGAGAACTATTAAAACCTGCAAAGCCCATTGAGGAAGCCTCATGGTAATTTCAAATATAGTTGCTCCACAAGCTATTGAAGCAGATCTGCGAGGTTCGGAGATAATCTGTTTGTTTGCTTCGTTGTTGTGTTGTGCGTGAACTATTTGACTCTTCTCAATTATCTCATTTTTTATATGATTCTCCAAGAGCTAAAGAGACAAAAGCAAAAAACCCGAACGGCCAAAGAATAAGAAACCAAAATTTTCAATGACATTTCTTGCACAGTGCATATATTACACAGTTGACTTAATATTTAACTTAACTTTAATGGAAAATTGGTCAAAGGACTGTTTCTTTCCACACAAAACTTAAGCTTAAATTCTGAAGACAATTGTTATAAAACGTTATTCAAAAGAAAAAAAACTAATAATTCAATGCTTAGAATTCTAATCTATGGGCTTGTGGTCCCACTATTTTAGTAAAAATTGAACATTAAGTCCCCCTATTTTTAAAATCCGCATTTTGATCCCATATTAAGCAAGTTTTGAGATATTTTTTATCCCCTCCAATTTTTTTTTTGATGATGGGCCTAGCTAGTACTCCCTCTAGTCCTATTTATAAGAAAAAGTTTGTTTTTTTTAGATTCATTTAATAAGCAATGTATCTGGATAAAATATAGATCAGATACATTAGTTATTGAATGAATCTAAAAAGCAAACTTTTTCTTATAAATAGGACCAGAGGTAATATTAACGAGTTGGAAAAAATGTTTTCCATGTCATTATTGTTGAAATTAATTATATAATTTATGTGAGATGTTGGATCGAACTCTAGTATGGTCGAAGAGTAGCTTCTGGTTCGACAGGAATTAAGCATGAGGTCGAAGTATGTTCGCATGCTGCTGTCGGAGTAAAGCGTGTTGTAGTCGAAGTTTGTTCTAACGTGCATTAGTCAATATTGGTAGGATTGTTAGTGTTAATCACGACATCAGTTTCTTGTCAGCAAATTGATGCTCCTTGACCAGTCGCATCAATTTGAGGGGGGATGTTAATCAGGAAATAATGAAACGCATTTATTGTGAATAATTTACATTCATAGAATAGGAAATTAGTTATTATGAGTTGTAATTAGTCATTATGAGTTGTAATTACCGACACTATTATATATAGTAGGAAATGCAATGAGAAAGGCACAAAGCCAGAATTTGTGACAGTTAGCATGTTGAATTGGGTCTTACTTGTAAGCCCAACTGTTTAAGTTAGCTTGTATCTTAAATTAGCTTGTAATGGGTAATTGTTAAAAAATCCATTAGGTTGGTGTGCTATTTTTCTTATAAATAGGATGTTAGTTTTTCATTCTTAGCATAAGAAAAAATAGAAAGATAAAATCCTAATTTCAAGAGAGAGGTTATTTTGTTATTCTTGTATACTTGTAATCTTGTTCTAAGAGAAAGGAAAGAATAACTGTTTACAACCAATCCTTGGTGTTCCTTATTGTTTTACCTTATTTTCTTTGTTAACCCTAACCCTTGTGTGTTTCTTGATCATAAAGAAATCGTTTATATTTTGTTTCAAGTTATCCGATTTCACAACAAATTGGTGCAGTGAGCGTGGAGAAGATGCCTTCAACAAAGTATGAGATTGAAAAGTTCACCGGAGTGAACGACTTCGGTCTGTGGCGCTTGAGGATGAAAGCCCTATTGGTTCAGCAGGGTTGTTTGGAAGCGTTGAAGGGTGAGGCAGCCATAGACGCTGCGTTAACGGCAAAAGAAAAGACGGGCATGATCGAGAAAGCCCACAGCGCAATATTGTTGAGTCTTCTTGGTGATAAGGTTCTTCGACAGGTATCAAAGGAGACTACAGCATCGTGATTAGGGGTGAAACTTGAAAATTTGTACATGACCAAATCTCTAGTGAATCGACTCTACCTAAAGCAAGTTTTGTATTCATTCAAGATGAGTGGAAACAAAGTGTTGGCTGACCAGTTGGATATGTTCAACAAGCTGATTCTTGATCTTGAAAATATTGATGTGAAGATCGATGATGAATGTCAAGCACTGTTGCTGCTGTGTACTTTGCCCAGAACACATTGGTGCATTAGGACTTGAACGAACGAAAGGAGCATAAACCTTCGACGGTGAGCGAAGGTTTGGCCGTTAAGGAAAAATTCTTGCGAAAGGATGGTAACTTACCATCCGACAAGAAGAAAGGTAAAAGTCAACAGAAGTCTTATAGTGGCGAAACATCTGGTATTCGATGTTATCACTATAAAAAGGAGGGTCACACAAGAAATGTGTGCCTAAACGCCTGAAAGATCATGGAAGTAATGGCAACGCAGCCATTCTTCAAGATGACATCGACTCATTTAATGTTCTTATGGTTTCAAGTGGCGACTCGAGAAAAGAGTGAATTATGGATTCAGGTTGCACTTGGCACATGACTCCAAACAGAGAATTGTTCGAGGAGTTATGTGATCAAGATGGTGGATCTGTTCTGCTGGGAAACAACAAATCTTGCAAAATTGCAGGTATTGGATCTGTGAGATTCAAGCTCCATGATGAGTCAATAAGGTTCTTGACTAAAGTCAGGTATGTACCTGACTTGAAGAGAAATTTGATTTCTCTTGGTGAATTCTTCAGAAAGGGATACGTTTTTCAAGAAGAGAAAAGTATCCTAAGAGTCATGAAGGGGTCGAAGGAAGTCTTGAGAGGCGTGAAGAAACAAGGCTTATATACCCTCGAGGCTGAGGTTGTAATTGGTTCGACAAATGTTGCATCCACGAAACCTGTGTCAAAGACATAATTATGGCACATGAGATTGGATCATGTCAGCGAAAGAGGTCTGGTCGAATTGGGGAAGCAGAACCTGCTAGGAGGTGACAAAGTCGAAAAGTCGGAGTTTTGTGAATCTTGTGTATTGATTTGGCACTTTAAACTACTACAATAATAGTTTGGAAAACATTTTTTCAAACTCATCAATGCCAACTAAGTACCACATCATTAATGAGACCACCACATCATCAAAAAAAGAGGGAAACAAAAATCCCAAGACTTGCTTAATATAGACACCAAAAAGCTAGTTTTAAAAATAGGGAACTTAAAATTCATTTTTTGTCATAATAGGGGTCGAAAATGCATTTAAGTCTAATATATATGTACACATAAGTTATTATGCAAGAGCAACGTAAGATTGGAATTAAAAAATTAAAAGTGTGTGCAAATAGAATTAGTTGTTTGTTTCAGCAATAAAAACACAGACACTTGGAGGGTACCTGATCATTAAAACAGGCTTGTGCACTGCCAGATACTAGAAGTGAGATATGGGCAGAACTGCAGGTTGATATATCACATCGCATGGTCACAACTCCACGTGAAAAAGAAGCTGCCTGAAGAGGTGGTGGAGGGGCACTATAAAACACCATAAATATATATATATATTACAATGTTGCAATCCATATTCATATTTCTAATGAAGTCCTAAAGAAAAGTAAATGAACATAAAATAATTTGAAGAGAAGAGATGAGTTATCAAAAGTATAAGTACTTGACTACTAGTCATATGTAAGTCTTATCAACATACCTATACTTGCCATGGAGCTTGCAACCACGTATCTGAAAAGATAAGAAAATTGAGAAAACCACATGAAATATCACCTTGAAGGAATGAAAAATTACTATGAAAAGCTCTCAAACAGGAGAGTGGTAAAAAGTCACTCAACAACAAGAAGTGGTCTTTTATCAGTTTATGTTTATTCCTTTCATGGAAAGGCCACAAGACTGAAAAATTATGGGTAAATAATAGCCCAGCATATGTTCATAGTAAACATTTTTGGGAAAATGAACTTTTATCAAAATAAGGTAAATTTGATCAAATGATACACTCAACATACTTCAATAGTTAATAGAGTTCTGAGTCCGTCCTCCAAACATCTCAGCAATGACTCGTCCTGAAAAGAAACAAACAATTATAATTGGAAAACATTGAGAAAAATATTTTTTCAAAGTGCATTTATACAGTTGTACGGATATTACTTTATGCATAAGTGTGGTTTTAGCACAAAAAAAAAAAAGAAAGTAGAATTCCAAAGAAGCTTACGACAGTGGAAGGTACACCACAGATGAGAAATCTCAAGTTCATTTCATCATCATGAATCTGTATAGAAGGAAGACTGCTGGAGGAACTTTCTTCATCATCGTCGTCTTCTTCTTCTTCTTCACCAATCTCTGGAGGGTCAACAATGATTTTGAGACAGTCACCAAGAAGGTGTGGCCCCATATCGCTATCAGCATCATTGCTATCAGTAAGAAGTACTTGGTTATTTTGAACACAGTAAAGTTTGAAAGAAGCATGTGCAAGGTGGAAAGCATCCCATGTATGTGTACATGAACTGCAATAAATTTGAAAACAGCACTAAATGTTTAGAAATATTTCAAATTTTCAAAATTCATAACAAATCAAACTACTTTGATTTCTTCAGTTTTTTTTCCACAGAGCGAAAAGAAAAAGTCATACTGGACTTGGAAGTTCTGGCCATTCATGATTCAAAACAAAAATTAGTTAAATAATCATAGATTAACTACCATGACATGTAAACTATATAGGTACACAAATTTTACAAGAAATTATTCCTCTCATAAGGACCCACTACATAGATGTGACATCAAGTATATGTAACCATAATCAAACATCAAAAATGACTAGTAAGTTGTATCAGTATAGCAGTTAGAGTTAGGACATAAAAAGCCATTGTACATAGTAAAAGCGCCATGATCATGCAAGTTGCAATCAATCAAACAAATGATGGCGTACCTCTGCACCACTGAAAAAAATGCTTGACGAAAATGGCAGGCAGCATATTGAGAAAAGGAATTCTTCCAAAATACAACATATGGGATGCCCTGTGTAATCAAACAATCTGAATCAGACAATATTGCCTATAGCATTACCAGAATGCACGGTATTCTTGTGATCGTTTCATCATCAACAACAACCAAGTATCAATAATGATAGTCTGTTGACATTTGATATCTAAGTTTTTTCAGCTTAGACAAAAGTACCTTAAGATGAAGGGCCTCCGCAAAACTTTCTCCATTTCGTATTTCTAAGTAAACCTGAAGATATTTTGCAAATTACATCAAATAAAATACCATACCCACAATATGAACTGAGGCAGGGAAAATGCTTAATTGGTGAAGTTTAATTAGTGAATTTAACATCAAAAAAGATCATATAAACATAAAAGTGCAAATTAGGTAAGCCTTATAAGTAAAAAATGTGAGCAATGGGTGATATGTCACAAAATCTATGCATGTTCTATTATTCCTAAATTTATCGTCTCATAATCATTAGCCCAGCAACACTTTTGCCATTTGAACATGAATAGTATTGAGTCTATTGATTAGTTCAATATTTAATATTGAGATTACTACAAAATTATATGCAACACAGGTGATCTAACGTCACTCACATACACCATGGTCTCTTAGCATTCTTCACAGTTTATAATTTTAACAGTTTACCATCTTTCTCCCACGACCAATAATAGTAAGTATACCCACCGAAAATTAACAACTTAGAAAGCAACGTATTAATAATCTCTCAAATTTGTTTTTTCACTAATCTCTATATGCCTAACCTAGTACCCTATCTTACAAATAAAGAACAAAAGAGCCATATAGAAATTCAGGTTACATACAACAGTCGGCAATGTGGTACCGAAGAGCTTCGATATATCTTCAGGAGTGGATAATTCCACACATTGCCAAACCAATGGACCAACTTCCCCGTTTGCTAACTTCTCTCCTTGTAAGTAGACAAAACTAGGCTGATATGATTCAAGAACTTTACGAAATTGTTCCTTTTCCGGATTGCAGAGAGTTTGCACCTTCATTTAAAAAAAAAACATCATAATTAAACTCAAACAAAATTAGTAATACAAAAGAAAAACTTCTAAACCTACATTGCAATACTTTATGTGAAATTTATATACCTCAAGACGCCCCGAAGAAACCAACTCAGGGAAAGGATATTTTCTATGATTTGGCGGGTGCTTCTGCTCAACAGAACGTGTTTCAGAAGTAACAGCAAGAACAGTACAGGTCTGTTTAGAAGCTCCTTGAGGATGAAACTGCAACATCGTTTAAGCTAAAAGCAACCAACAACAACAACAACAGAGTGAGAAAAAGTTGAAGTGATACACGAATTAAGCTTCTAAAGAAAAAAAATACGAATCAAATTACACGAACATGAAGTTAAAAACCGATGAGGTTGAGTTCTGAAGTATTCTCCGACGAGAAAAGCACCGTTACCGCGAAATTACGGAGGAATTGTGAAGCTGCGTTGCATCGTTGGGTTTGGTGAGTTGTTGATTGAAGGGAAAGAGGTGCGTTTGTGATTAAACGGGAAGTTGAAGAGTGAGAAGGTGAAAACCCTAACGCGATTTGTGGATTGGGATTCGAGGATGAAGATTGAACAAAGATGAACAAGAGGATTCGGAAAGCGATGCGGATTCGCGTTTTTTTCTTTCATGTTCTTCTTCTTCTTAAACTTAAACGACGTAGTTTTGATTCTTTTTGAAAAAATTAATAATAGTACTAGTAAAAAAAAACAATCTTTTGTGAATTTGAACTTAATTATGAAATTGTGAGTAAAGATGTGTTTTCTTTACTTTCTAAATAGGGTTTAAGAATTCATATTTTTAAAGGTGAACATGTCACTCGATTTAAATTCGTCTCCTTGCAACTAATATCTTTACATAACTTGTTAATTTAATGGGATAAAGTTGTATTATTTAATTATAACTTTTTATGATATAGTTAAAGGATTAATTAATATCATTAATAGTAATAATCTTATGTTATTAAAAAAATATCTTTATACTTATAAAAGTTTGCACTCTCAATCAACTATAAACTTCGAATAATTAAAAAAAAAAAAAAAAATCTAAAACACCATATAGATTGGTGGGGTTTTGTTCTCCTGAGGATTGATGGGTTGTCTTTGATAAACTTTTTTTTTTTTTTGCTCTTTATTATTGATTCAATCCTTATTTGCGTTTGTGTCGGGATAACGATTGTATTTTTGTGCAGATATAATGGAAGACAAAGTAAGGGTCGGGGTCCTGAAGTCGATAATACAACCACCTGGCATCGCTGCGGGTCTTCTTTTTACCCAGGAGCTCATTGAAATGTTGCTTTCTTAACCGTTCCTCCGAGTTCTCATGTGGATCCCGACTATCGCTTTGGTCCTTAAGAGAGTTGACCACCCTGGCTCGTTCTTCTAGACAGACTTCTATCGTCGTATCCCTAGCCAAATCTGGTTGTTGGGAAGCTCTTTGAATAAACCAGACGCGTGAAGAAAAAGTCGACTGGAGAGAAGCATGTACAATTTAACTTCCCAATGAGATACCTATTTAAGGGAGTTTCATAAAGTTTATGCTTCACTACGGGAGGTATATAAAAGTTTTGGCTCCGTTCAATCTTTCTGACATTGTGGGTAGTCAGGTGATGTATGTGGCGAGAACGTTGGAAAAAGGTCAAGGTTATCGATTCTTCCTTGAGAGGGTTGGAGTTGTTGTGCTGTCAGAATACTTTTATGGGCCAAAAATTAAAAGAATTTACTTATGTGAATCTTGAGACAGTTGTAGAGTCTTTTGAGAATGCTATACAACAAGTGGAGCATTTCCATCGTTAGTTGGTTATTTAGAGGAAGCAAATTCGGTGGAGTCAAATTCTCCAAGACGACAAGGTTGTCTCTCTTGGATAGGACTCATGTGTTCGCCTTTTTTTTTGTATGTTCCTCGAAAGTGTCTATAATTGTACTTTATTTATGTTGTTTAGTGAAGTTTTTCTTCGTTCATGTTTAAAGTATGCTTGTTCTATCGTGAATATAATATTGCCCTATTGTGTCGTGGTTTGTTTATATACCTGCAATTTATGAAGGGTTTCTTTTGCCACGAAAGTTATCAGATGAGGAAGATTGAAATGCAAATAACTTTGAGTTGTTGTCAGTCTTTCCGAGCAAGTGGTGTTAAAATTTTGTCGGGGTTTTGTATCCCGGATCATAATTAATGTTTGTTCATATTATTACCTTTTTCACAATGGTTTTTATATTGTTTTCCCTTAATTGAGACTTTCGATCCTGTGAAAGCTAGAAAGTGTTAGGGTTCGATTTTGAGCTATTAAATCTTTCGCGAAGCTATGTTTGGTTGATTTTCTCATGACTGTGTTGCGTGAAGATGCACATGTTTTATTCATGAGATATTAATCCAGCTATACGCAACCATGATTGGATACTGCATTCACATTAAAAAGAGGTCATGAAACAGAGAATAATTCCCCGACCAAGGGTAGAGGATTTTTGTCCCTGCCCCTGAGGTAAATCTCATATTGAGATGAATATCTCTAGGCTCCACCACTTTCTCCTCTGGATTGGCTAGATCCAAAAAGGTGCATCAGCTACGCGTAAATGCGTGTATTTATTTTACATATGGTATTTGAATATTGTATTCAGACATACAAAGAGTCTCTGATATCAACCCTAGGGGAATTAGTTGTTGTAGTCGGATGTGCAAAACGTTTCCAACAACCCCCTGAACTCTAAAAGTGCTCAAGATGTTGTTAGAAATTGATTGTTACATTTAGGCGTATAAAGTGTATCAGACAACACCCCTAAACTTTTAAGTTGTGCAAGACACTATGGAGAATTAATTTACGTAAGTGAGCGTACAAAATGTATCTAACAGCACCCCTAAACTCTTTAGGTCATGCATCAATTATGTTGGTCTCACCTAAGTTTCGTCATTGCTGGCATTAATCACAAAGGAACAAACAGTTCAGACTTTAAGTGACTTTGTTTATAACGAAGAATTGCATGCCTATGCTACATGGCAGTTTACTCATATGTATACAAATATGAGTACAATAAAAAAAACAAAATGAAATATAACCAAGCGGGTATTCCTCCACTTATTTCACATAAGGTATTCTCTTTGCTCATCCATGTTTGGTGTAACACCCTTTTCTACCCCAAAATTATTAAGGAAAAATAACACGGATTTCAGAGTAAATAAATAAGTCTCAATAAAAAGCCACAAAAGGGCATACATTTCTCAAAGTCGACAAAATAGGTCCATACTCCGTAACTACGGGTTTTCCCAAAGTACATCAAACAACATAAAACAGCGGAACTCAAAGCATAAATCAAGGTTTCTCCTCAAAAGGGAGAATAAGTAAAATAACCCACTGATATAAAATCAACTCAAAGAACCCAACCTGGTGTTACATATCAGAGCAAGACCCTCTAAGCTAACCAAAAGACTAAAACACTCAAAACTTCAACAATATTCCTCGATGGCGTCCACGGCTAAACTTGCTCATCTGCACGTTACCCACGTGGAGGTAACATTCAAACAGGCAAGGTGAGTAAAGCAATTCATAATAATCAATGTATAACAATTAATGCATAAACGACATAGTAATTATATTCAACACATTCATATTCCTCAAATATGCCGAAGGCCACAATGTCACAATTCATACAAAAAGACTCATAAATGCAATAAGACACAACTCAATGCATGTGGTATCAATCATCACAGCGTGATGGACACTGGACCATCAACCCTCCATAGATCCCCATCAATAGGATCGATTCTACTAGAGAACTGGAGCACATCAAAATACTTCACATCCGCACAGTGGGATTGAAGCCAAAGTAATCGAGGTCTTGAACCGAAGTCTGGATGCACATGAATGCATGATGCACACGTCACAATAATCCTCATAATAATATCATAGGTGCATCCTCATTCATCATATTCGTCATATTCATCAAGCGTCATAACTCATCCACATAGTCATCATCATCATATAAATCGTCATATTTCACATAACTCATCAAAATAATCACCGTCATCACATAAATCATCATATCTCACGTTATCACATAATTCATCATAATAATCATCATCATCACATAATTCATCATATAATTGATCATAATAATCACGTGTCAATCACATGTTAGCTCATAGTCATCCTCATGTTAGCCCATCATATTATCACATATTACCACATATTAATTCATAATACTACCCCATATTATCTCATATTAATTCCTCAAATTATATTCGCGGTAATCCTCACCCTATCGCCTATCAATCACATAATTCCTCACTGTCATACTCATATTAACTCATCTCAGAAATCTCAGAATCAAACATCAAGGCATCGCTGCAAAATGATCAAATTCCACGAACTCTGCTACATTCGCTGGCTTGCTTGCTAGGCGAGTCGGGTGGCGAGTCTTCGCTGGCATGCTCGCTAGGCGAGTCTTCGCCGACATGCTCGCTAAGCGAACAATGTGATGACAACAAACATTTGCTACGCACAGAACTGGTTTCTACCCAAAAACTCATATGATTCACACACCTCATACCCCCCAAAACACCCCTAAATTATCCCTAAGGTCATACGGCGATAACGACACAAAATCTATGGTTTGTTAGGCCAACCCGACAACATTTGCACTTCCTAAATCACTATCTCCCTGCAATTGCTCTGAGTGCATCAGAGCTACTCACATTTGAACATTCCTATTCCTACAGAGTCAAACATATAACAATCCAAGGTTTTGGCCACGAAGGCCTAAGGTTTCCCTTTCTCATGTCAATATTCAGTGTTACATACCACTAGCCATAATCTCAGAGTCGTATAGTCAATTTCCCTAATTCTCCCAAATCAACCCCAAAATACCTTAAATCATAAACGGACCATAAACACATCTAAAGGCATACATAGAAAATCATGAACAACGATACTCCCCATACCTTAGTCGATTCGCAGCTTTCACGATTAACTTTGGGATCTTCTGCCTCCAACCTTTTCTTCAGAGCTCTGGCCACCAAACTTTCATGGTTAACACAAAATGAGTTCTAATTTCCCTTCAGAACTCAATTTTGCCAATCCTAGTCTTGGGCCTCACAAATTGGGTTTTTCCCTCATTACCCTTACTAACTCCTCCAAATGCCCAAATTACCCTTATTCCTCTTATATTTATTTTAATTCATAATAATATTAATAAATCCATATTACATACTATTATTCCAAAATAAATACTCCATAAACAGAGTGGATT